TGCTCCTATGATGCTGCTTGGCCTGCTGTGTTCATCCAGCTCTGCACCTTGTTGTCTCACCTTCAGAATTAAATAAGGTTACAAGAGCTAACGAAGTTCAGTCTATATTTTATTTTCTAAAAAGGCAACAATCAGTTATTTTTCCTGGTTGTTTATGAGGGTGTCAATTCCCTTTATGAAAGCTCCCCCTTGTGATACAAGATGCGTGATTTATATACGTAGTTAAATAATTTGCCTTAGAGTTTGGATTTTGAACTAGTGGCATGTGGGTTTTTGTCTGTCTATAAGGTGCTTTATTATTGTGAGCCTTTCTGTAGCCATGACTTTTAAATCAATTCAGTATAAAAGAGGGCTTCTGGAGTGATAATAGGAACTTGTTTGCATTGGGAGATCAGACAAGGGGAACACTGAAAAACATTAGCTGCTTTTGGTTTAGAAAAATCACGAGTTGATTTTTTTTCCCTCTATTTGGGGAAAACTCCATAGCTTGGAAAGCTTTTCGTGAATGTTTGCACCAGTCCTGGTTGAAGTTCAAGAGAAAAATGAGTTTCTTCTAGAGAAAGAAGTTAGTTTTTTTTAAGAAAACCAAGAAATGGGTTACCTGAAGGTAAGAATTTTCTTTGAAAGTTCCAGACAAAAGTGTTTGGCCAAAATCTTGAAGGGGTTACTTGAAGCTGTAAAGCTTAAGCTCAACTGTGTGACTAAACAAGAAAAAAAGGCTAAGATTCTCTGAGGACTGAAAATTAAGAAAAACAGTTAAGTCAAACTTAATTACAGAGAAAGGAACACACTCAAGTATGAGTACTGTAAAGTGATGGTGTCGGGCAGATGGGATTGTAGATTGCAGTCTGCTTTAAAATCTTTTAACGTGTGTTATATGTAAATAGTTTGGTTATTTATATTTTACTTTTATATCTTTCATAATAAACCTCCGGTTTATTGTTGAAACCAAATCTGCTGCACTGCATGCTTGTAAAAAATACACAAAATATGACCTATCAAACCAGGTTTCAGTCTGTTTTACTTGCCTAGCAATACATCAGCTCCCCAATAGGTGAGCTTCCATCATTGTATTAATTTTAGGTTGCCATAAATCCACACAGGCAGAGTTCTACTTTAAGGTGGCTGGATCTGGAATCCCCCACTCATCACAAATGTTGCAGTCTGCCCAAGGACAGAAATATTATTCCCAAGTTCGAAACAAATTATTTCATCAACTATGAGAAGGAGAGATTTTTTAGTCAAACTTATTCTACACGTTTAAAAACACCAGATGAATGCTTTAAGGATACAAACTGCATAATTTCTAAATCAACAGTTAATTGTGTCAAAGTGTTGCTGAGTCAAATCTATGCACACCAATTGGAAAATAATTAGGAAGTGAACTAATTTGTTCCAGGAATAAAACACAAAATAAAAGCAGCTGACAATTGTTTTCTTGGCAATGTAACTTATCCAAAATTATTTTTCAGTATGGTCACCATCTGCTGCGGCTGCCCAATTCTTTTTTCTCTCTGGCTACAGACACCATTCCAAAACTTAGCGTTGCTGCTACTTGCATAACTCCAGTCAAATGCAAAAAAAACCTCCCTGAGATGCAAACACAAAACTGGTTATTAATAATTTGAATCATTTTCTCGAATTGGCTTCTGAAAGAATTTTGATCCAATCATGTGGACAGATTGGAGAAGTTAGAGCTGCTCTGAAGAGCCAAGAGAAGGTTTACATAAAAACAGAAAATAGGTGTGGGAGTAGAGCATTTGGCCCTTCAAGCCTACACTACCATTCAATATGATCGTGGCTGATCATGCAATTTCAGTATTCTACTCCCGCTTTCTCTCCATACCCCTTGATCTCCTTAGCCACAACAGCCAAGTCCAGATCCCTTTTGGATACATCTACCAAACTGGCCCCAACAGCTTTCTCTGGTAGAGAATTCCACTTTTGAAAGAGGATCCAAAACTGTGAAGGGTCCAAACAGAATAAAAAGTGAGAGACTGTTCTTATTAGCAATTTCAAATTAAGAACCAAAGAACACTGATTTAAGGTGATTGGCAAAAAGAAAATCTAAAAGCGACATGAAGAAAATCTTTTTTGATGTGGTTGAGGCAGATTCAATTGTGCTTTTGAAGAAGAAAATGGATAAACACACGAAGGAATAAATTTTGCAAAAGCATGGGCTAAGGAATCAGGAGCTGAAACTGAAATAGGCTCAACAAGTCAAGTAGCCTGCTCTGCGTTGCAGCTGTTTTATGATGTTTATGTATGTCTTTGGCTGAAAACATGAACAGTTTATCTTCCTTAAGTAAACAAATGAAACATAACCAATTGTAAAACGACGACTTTCTCTTTTACACTACCCTACCAACTTCCATGCATTTATCTGTAAAACTGGTGTATGGCTGTGAAAAATCATTGCCCCAACAGAACTGAAGATAGAACAGAAAACCAACAACATTGGTGACTCACGGGTGGCGTTTCATTTGTTGAACTTGTAGGTTTGGGCTTCTTAGAAGTTAACCCTGCATAACATGTCCAGTGGAAACAGATTTTAATACCTTTCAGGGGAATTCATTGACTATAATTTTCACTTGAAATTAAACTTTGGATTGACATTGTAAGAGATATAAAATTGAGGCAGGAAAATTTGGGGGAGGTGTTTGGTGGTCAGACTTCATGAATTCTTTACAACAGATTTTGACTTGTATCTCTATGAAACTTACCACTACATGTGCTATTAGTGATTATAACTTCCTTCAGGCTACGTTTGGCACAATAGCAACATACTTGCCACAAAGTTAGAAGATCATAGGTCCCTCCAAGGACTTTGACACATAATCTAGGCTGACACTCCAATAAAACACAGTGGGATTGCTGCACTGTAAATATAGCCTTCCACGAGACACTAAGCAAAATTTCTATCAACTTGTTCAATCAGATAATGGTATTCCAATGATATTTGAAAAAGAACAGGTTATTTAACTAACATTTATCTGTTGACCAGTACTAACAAATCAGATGAACTGGCTACTGATCAGCCATGGCTTAGGAACTGCAGGACTACTGACAGGGTCAGCTAGAATCATGTGGGAGAAAGCTTGTGGGGAGACTAAACAACTGCATGGAACAATTGCGTTAAGTGGCGTGTTTCAGTACCGTACATTTTGCGTGATTCTATTTGATATAAATACTTGTCACTTCAGTTTATGGTGTGTTTTCAGTTTAGACCAAAGTATTTCTTCTGAATCCATACCCTCTGCATATGTACAGAAGATATGTTTTATTTTAGACTAAGCACATCTTGCAGATTACTGTCCGTTTTTGAGCAAGCAACACAAGTGTGGAATAAATTAACAAAATAACATTTCTGGTTGGTTCCCACACTTGTCACAGCATGGATATATCCCATTTTAGCGTAAACATACCTCATTCAACTGGCCAACAACTCTCTGCAGTCAACTAGATTTATTAAAGCAACCAGAAGCAATGCTGGCAAACTAGAACAAGTGATACATCTGGTAATCGGTAACTCACTCTTTCGGAGTCTCTGGGACCTTTGGTCCTTCGATCTTCATCTTGAGTTCAGTGGGTACGTGTAGAATCTCCACACACGATTTAATGGAGTGGTTCGAGTCTTCCCGGCACACTGAAAAGATAATTGAAGCGTCCGTAATTAATTTTCTGCAGACACACAGCTCAGATGAAGGATCATGAAAACCTTAGCATTTTGCTTTTGGATGTAGATTGCTGTGGGTGCAATTCCAGCAATTTCTGTTTTATATCCATTACAATATATTGTTGTAAGGTAAAAGTCCACAAAGCAGACAATATGAGACATAGCATATTCAAATAAAAGCTACTCCACAACAGAACCACTTTCTAAAAACAATGTTATTACTTTCCTGCTCTTTCCTCCTTCTGATTGTACAGAAGAAATCCATAGCAGAACCAGTGTTTTTAAGTATTATCAGATAGATATCTTGTGGGCTTTGAATAATTTATAATAACAAAGAGATGTCTCACTCTTATTTCAACTTAATTCCTATTGCACCCTTGATTGAATGCATTTCAATTAAGCAATCAAACAGCCAGTTCCATGTCATAATTATTCAGAGTACAATGTTTTTGTATAATAATTATTAAAATGGCTTTGTGCATGAACCATAACATTATTTTGTGAACAGGTACTAGCAGCATTATAAAATATTGTAGGAATAGTCACGAGGTCAAATCCACTCTAATTAAAACAGTAAATGCAGCAAAATGATATTTCAGCCTCAGTGTTGAGATTACAAAGACAATAATTCTGCCAGAGGAGAGGTTGCAATGGATCCACGTAACAGTACACTCTCATGATCAAGACTTCTTATGATACAATGGTTCAGGCTGCTTACTTGATAACTTCGGTATTGGATAGACAAAAAGTAATAGTGACAAAAAATGGCTAATAGAACTGTGGGTTTGCTAAGACAGCTGAAAGCTATTGCTCACCAGTGACAACTCTTCTACAAGCTTAACTCTAATACAATCCACAATTTGTGTACGACAAAAAGCTTGCAATCTGACGAGTTTGGTAAGGATAAGCAACTCTGTGCAAGAACTCCATTTCTCCCAAAATTGAAACAATATAAAGTCACCTATTAGAATGCATATAAGATTGAGTGGGGCATGAACACAAACTGAACTGGACTAGCCACATTAGTACTCTGGAAACGAGAGCAGGTTACATACTAGGAATCTCACAGCAAGGAACTCACCTCCTGACTCCTCAAAGCCACGATCTAAAAGTCACAAATCAAGAGTATGATGAAATACTTCTCACTTGCATGGGTGTCTGCAGCTCCAAAAATTCTCAGCTACCTTGAAACCATCCAGGACAAAGTATCCCATTTGACTAGCAACACTTCTATTTTATTCATTCATGGGATGTGAGTATTTTTGGCTAGACCAGCATTTATTGGCCATCCCTAAATGCCCAGAGGGCAGTTAAGAGTCAACCATATTGCTGTGGGTCTGCAGTCACATGTAGGCCAGATCAGCTTTCCCAACAATTGACAATGGTCATCAGTAAACTCTTTGACCAGATTTTTTTTTGCTGATTTCAAATTCCACCATCTGCTATAGCAGGATTCGAATCCAGGTGTCCGGAACATTACGTGGGTCTCTGAATTAATAGTCTAGCGTAATACCAATAGGCTATTGTCTCCTGTGTACATCCCCATACATTCACTCAGTTCACTACCAATGCTCAGTAACAGCAATGTATCCCATCTTTAACATATATTGCAAAAAATTCCTTAGACAGCACTTTCAGAAATGCTGGGTCAAAATCCTCTCCCTAACAGCACTTTAAGTCTACCTACAGCAAAACGGCTACGGCAGTTCAAGAAAGTAGCTCACTACCACCTTCTAATGGGCAGTTAGAAATGGGAAATAAATGCTGATCCAGGCAGCAACACCCACATCCCATGACTGAATTTTAAAAAACCTTCTGCAACAAAATTAATTCAATTTGTTACAACAGATTCTACAGGGATTGGCCAGCATTCCTTGCCCATCCCTAATTGCCCAGAGGGAGTTAATTGTCAGTCAGACCAGATAAGGGAAGTAAGATCTCCTGGTCTAAAGCTTGTTCAGTAAGCAGATGGATAGATATGGCAACTATTAAGCAAGCATTTCATTTTGGCTCTTAATTGAATTCAATTTTCACCATCTGCTATGCTGGGATTCGAACCTATTGTCCAGAACATTCGCCCGAAGTTCTGGATTGCAAGTCCAGATGTATCAATACACCACCACTTCTCCATAATTATTGACTTTGTTGGAACATGGTGTAAAATGTGGTTGCCTTACTTGATAAGGATATCACTGTATCAGAAGGACCAGGAAAGGCAGCAAAGATGGCTTAGAGATTTAGGATCTGGAGAAATGAGGGCAGACAGATGAAAGATAGACTGAAAAGAAGCTTCAGAGGATCCATGGTCCAAACTGGTAAATTGCCAAGAAGGATGGGTAATGGCAGATTGGATGAATGCTGAAATGAAGTCTTCTTGTGCAGGAAAGATTAGATCTTTCTATTAAAAATAAGAGACCATCTATTTAAAATGGAGATGAGGAGAACATCTGTGTCTCAGAATGTTATGAGGCTGAAAAATCCTCTTCCCCACAGAGTGGAGGAGGCTGGGTCCTTGAATATTTTTAAATTCTTGACTAACAGGGCATGGAGGTGATCAGGGAGCAGAGTTAAGGTCACAATCAGATCAGCCGTGATCTTATCCAACGGCAGAGCATGCTCAAAAGGCAGAATGGTCTACTCCTGCTCCTAATTCATATCTTCAAACATAGATGGCACGAATTAACCTTGTTTCACTTGGTGTGTATCCAGTTTTGTTCTGCATTTGTGAAGCACCCCGCTGTATACAAAAAAGGATTGAGCATTAAAAAGGAGTTGCAACCTTATAAAAATTTCTGTGAATTTGCACTTCCCTAGTGCCCAGCTCAGATGACAATAGTGCCTCTTGGGGAATTCAACAATTTAACTCAGAGGATACACTTCACAAGACACAAAGTCTCAGAAGTGTCCTTACAGCGATGTTCTAGAAAATGGCTGTCTTTCAAACAGTGTTGCCTTTTCATGGTTGAAATTCAGTGAAGTTCAAGCCTGTCCTGCGATGTCCTTCAATTGATAGCCGTAAGGAATTTTTAAACATCAAAATGAAACAACTAAGAACAGTAATTACAGGTTCTGAGAACTTGACTTGTCTCGAACTCTGAATTCCCACACTCCCAAATTCCTTCATTCCATCATTGGTGGCGAGGCCTTCAGTTATCTGCTTCCTAAATTCTGGAGTACTCATCTTAAACATCAGTCTTCTCGTTACCCCTCTTCTCTCTCAATTAACATAACATGCTCTTAGTCATCTGCCCATATACCGCATTTAAGTGGCTCCATATCAATTCTTATTGCATAATACTCCTACGACATGCCTTGGTTTAACATATGTGTTACATAAATGGAAACTCTTATTGTCACAGCTGTGGAGTCTTTTTTCATCATATTTACCCCCAAAATAACACAGAATTCCTCCAACATTCTATTGGCTACAAACTCACATCAACAACTAGCTATGTAACTAAACAAAAATGGTAAAAAATCTCACTAAACGCACAAGATTGACCAGTTTAGATAATGAAAATGGCCAGGGGAAATTGATGAGGTTTAGACATAGTGAGTGTAAATGGAGCTTTAGCACTCATCAAAAATGTGTAGGATGTGAGCCTGGAATGCTTAGTAATCATTCAACATAACGACCACAAAATTCACCAAAAGAAATGATATCTTTGTAAAATAACTGGACTCTTATTGTGTTCATAATTAGAAGCAGGATTGCATAGTCAATGAAATCATGCTGCCAACACTCAATTTAAATAAAACTAATCTAAAGGATGTATAATACTCCAATTTGCTTAACTTTGTTGCAAAATGGAATGCCTGAGGCAGAATATGCTACACTAGCAAATATGATTATAGATACAGCTCTTTTGTGGAAGATGGAGTTTTTTTCTAAGCAGGTAAAAGAGATGAAATTTCTTTAGAAAATTATAATCTAATGACATATTGGGATAGTGGCTGCCTTCATGGACATCAATGGGTAGAATCTTCCAGGCTTGCTTGGAGCTTTTAGATTGGCAAACAGGAGAACTTAATTGTAGAGAAGACAAAAATTCAGTTTCCTGACACTGGGTTAAAGTTTTGATTTTATATTGCAGGGAGTTATGACCAGGAGCCTGCTTAATACTTGTTCCTCAACCAGCATTACATCATTAAGTGATCGAGTCATTATCGCATTGCTGTCTGTGGCGCATTGCTGTGTGCAGATTAACAACATGCTTCTTAAAACAACTAAAACATAGCACCTTCTTTAAATAAATATATTTCTGAAATGTTGCAATGTTTCTAATTGCATCCATAATGCAATCTGTGCTAATCTGGTTTCTGTATTTCTAAATTGGAATATGAAGACACCTTTAAAAATTAATCAATTGGCAGGGAAACAGTTCGTAACTCCCCGAGGTTGTGAAAGAAACATTGTACAAATGCCAATCTTTCTTTGGGAGGCTATTTGGTTTTTGGAATATGAGAGTTTGTGTTCTGACAGAACTCAAACATCAGAGAACAGACTTTGGATTTTCACAAGCAAGTATCTACAGAATCACACAATTGTTTCTGTGCAGAAGCAACCCATCATGTCCGTACCACTTCTCTGAACGATCATCACTTTGTGCCATTCCCGTGCTCTTTCTCCAGAACCTATTTAATCAATCATCCAATGTTGTCTTGAATGCCTCAACTGAACCTGCCTCCACCAGACTTCCAAGCAGTGCACTTCAAACCTGAGATAGTAGGAACTGCAGATGCTGGAGAATCCGAGACTTCAAACCTGAACCACTTAAGAAAAAGTTCTTCCCTGCATCACATCTACTTCTTTTATAAATCACTTTAAACCTGTGTCCCATCCTTGTTTTATTTGTTTACTCACAGGATGTGGGCATTGCTAGCCAGGCCAGTATTTACTGCCCAACCCCAAATAAAAGGCAACCCCATTTCTGTAGGTCTGGAGTCACGTGTAAGCCAGACCAGGTAAG